ATGTGTATATACATATGCATGCACGCATGATACCTAGCTGGCTAGCGAGCACCGCTAGCTAGGTAAGGGGCTCACCCTGCCACGAGTAAGGAAATACCAAAGGGTCGAACGCCTCCACTTTGTGTATATTCCTGCATAACTGATGCAACTCCCTGCACCAGTTGGTTTGTAGGCATAGGTGTTTTGTAGTAAAGTTCGTAGGCAGCAGCCTGCAACAGAAATAATATTCTTACTCATTATAAATAAATAGTAAACACAAACAACGCGCTGCTGCTAGCACTTGTTCCATTGTATATAAACTCCACGAGCAAATACTGCCGACGGCATGTACAAAGCAGAAATACTTCCACTTCTTTCTTCGTTTTTGCTTTCGTTTCTTCTTTGGGTTTGTTTCTATTCCTGTTTCTGCCTGCTTTTGCTTATGCATGCAAATGCAACACGCATACTGCCGTGCAACTCTCATGGGTTTCTTGTTCGAGTTTGTAGTCTGTGTAGAGTATACGCACACGGTGCAATGTATGTAAGGCGCATGGACAATATAAGCATATACATACGGTGTACGTACAATATATAGTGCTTTAAAGGATTTAATTTTGTGGCCTATTCTCACTTCTTTTCTGCCTTTTTTGAGGACAACTCTGAAGTCCGCTGGCATTCCAGCGAAGACGCATCCAACGGAAGGGGTGAATGTGTCGACTTTGCTGATGGTTTCCGCTTCAAGAAGAGGAGTTGGGAGTTTCTTTTCTGCTGCTAACACCACCCCATTCTTGGCTTTAATACCTAAAGCAGGGGCCCCTTGCTGCACGCGGTTCAACGCATATTCAATCTGCACCAGCTTTCCACTGGGGGAGAAGGTCGTGAGGCTGAACGAATACTGCCCGTCCGCCATCTTCGATGGTTTGTACGAAATAAAAAGGGGAAACTACACAAATAAACTGAATGTTCCGATCAAAAGAAAACTGAAGAGACGAATTACAAGAAAGAGGATCGGCTTTCCGCCGGCTAACAGGCGCGGATTGCGAAACAAATGAGGTGTATGTACACCTCAAATTATCTGCAATTTTTGCAGCTGAAAAGAATTGCGAAATTCCACTATTGTTCGTCTTGAATAGTTTAGAGGGGGGTGGTGCATGCAGAGGCGCCAGCGCTGCATAAGCCGCTAGCTCTCATGCTGTGAGTTCTGCCTTCATAATAAGTGAATTCCTTTGAGGAAATTCAACATAATTTCAAATATAAACCGAAAATTTATCGAACTTCCCACCGATATACGCAGACGTGCTGTGCTGTGCCGTTCATCAGCAAACGCCTGCAGCCCCGCCTCCATGCGGCTGCGGTGTGTGTGTACATTCATACATTTATTGTTACTATTTTAAGAGATTAAGCTTCATAAATACGAATTAAAACATAAATTTTAATCATTTAAATAATCAAATTCAATATCCTTAATATTTTGCCCTCCTACTCATACAATTCATGATGCTCTAATCACCTTCTGGTGTGCAGGTTCCGAGCTCTCCATTAAAATTTATATTTTAAGATGCTGAGACAATAATTATTAATCAATTATGAGGATTTTGGTTATTTTTAAGTGAATGTTTCGCTGACTTTAGGGTGTCTAGACACCGCGTTGGTGGCTAGCTAGTGTTCTCATTCTGGTGAGAACCTTCAGTAAGATTAGAACTAACAAGAAATACTGCATTTCTTGTTGCACTAAGCAAATATATAATTTTTTGTAATTCTTGGAGAGTAAAAACACACAAATTTTGTTCTTTTCAAAGCGCCTTACTGGCTTTGAAATTAACCCCGCTTTGCAGCAAAATTATGGGCTGGAAACAAAGGTGTATATATATATATGTATATATATATATATATGTATAGAGCTTATCGCTGTAGTGATACATATGAATATATATATATATATATACATTACATGTTCAGTACAGGGGTTAGTTCAATACATATATATCTGTGCATATAATTGTACATGAAACGAACCCCTGTACTAAACACACCTATATATATATATATATATATATATATATATACACGAATTCAGTAGTCATACCTTAGCGACTGTCTGTATGGTTGTTGTTCCTCTTGTGCATCCCAGGAAGTTAAATTTGTGGGGGCGGTGAGACCTCTGCAATGGACTGTGGTGTGGTGCAGGAGAATCCAATTTAGGTTTAGGGCTTAGGGTTTAGAAAAAGCAGCTGATTGCCTCGACTGAAGAGTTTAGGGTTTAGGGTTTAGGATTTTAAAGAAGCAGCTGATGGCCTCCCCTTCACTATCCGGCGCAGACGAACCAACCCTTAGTGTTTATTTATATCTCCTGTTGGGCGTACACCCATTAACTTTGTTTGTATTACCTCCTATATTCTTCTTTTGTACTACTTCCTGTGTATTGAGGTGTATTTTTATCTGGATGAAACAACTCAAATAAAAATGTTTTAGGCTAACGATAATGAAGAAAAAGAGAATAGAATCAATCGCCTATTGTTGGAAGCAGCAGCAGCACACCCTGCTGCTCCTGCTGCTGCAGCAGCAGCAGCAAGATGCAGCAGCAGCACAACATGTTCCATTGGCTATCTATCAACTAGAGAGGATCTCGCACTGCTGGGGAGAAGAAAGAAAACTGCATGCAGCGCTTATTTCATTATGAATATTGCATGCACCATTTATTTCATATTGTTTATAAGCATCATGCATGCAGCATTCATTCTATTTGCCGTCAACTTGAACTTTTCTTCTTTTTTCATCATCGTGCATGTCGGAGGATGCTGCGAGAAAGGAAACAGAGTCGAGATGCCTGTATCTATGCCTGTGCCCTTATCCATATCTATATATCTATAGCTGTGCCCATATCTGTGTCTACGTCTACCTGCATGTCTTTATCTATATATAGATATATCTACTTCTAAATCTGTATATCTGTATCTATATCTATATATCTATATATCTATATATCTATATATATATATATTTTCCCCCCTCTCTCTCTATATATATATCTGAATATGTATCGATTATTCCTCTGCTTGTATTGTATGGGCATGTGCATAATTACATACAATATATGTGCAAT